TTGGAGAGCTAGAGGCAGGAAGTTGGTAGCCAGTCCACCTGAGTGGGGCCCCATGGAGGCCAGGTGGGCTTCATTCCGCCGATGGGGTCAAACAGTGCTGTCGACCAAGTCTTTTATAAAAAATACCCACTTGGACCACAAACCAGGCTTCTGTGACTTCTTTGTCTCGCAAAGAATTCGGACCCCGGCATTACTGAGAAACCTAACAAGGCCGGAGCAGTCACGGGCCCAGGCTGTGTCTGAGGGGAACCAGGGCGAGCGGACCCCATCCCCCAGTCACAGACACGCCGCCCCTGGTGTGGGTGCTCCGTGAGAGTGTGTGCGCGTGGCCAAGCGCCACAACCCAGCCGAGACGTCTCTGGCAGCTCCCAGCAAGGCCAAAGCGCAGGTCTCAGTGCCAGCCAGGCTGGGGCGGGTGGGCTGGCCCCCTGGGTGTCACCTGTGTGTGGCACTACACGGAAGGGAGCCTCTCCCTGCTCTGCAGGCCTGGGCAGATGGCCTCCTCCCAGGCACCTGCAGTTGGCTTGGTTTGGAAATGAAGAATGTTAATAGTACCGGCCACCTAGGCCTTTTACGAGGATTTGCTGAAGCGCTCATTCAGCTCTGGTGGGGCAGTGGTTACGAGTGGAGCTGCTCACTGCAAGGTCAGCAGTTCAAAACCACCAGCCGCTGTCCAAGACGAGGGTCTCTCCTCCAGGACAGTGTCACCGTCTCAGACACCTGCAAGGGCAGGCCCACCTGTCCTGCTGGTGTCGCTGTGTGTCCGACTGGATTGGAAGGCAGAGAGCTTGGTTTGGTATCGAAAGGGATCAAACAGGGTTCTTATTGGGGTTGGGGGCCGGAGTGGGGCCCCAGGTGCTCCATTAAGGGTTCTTAGACCAGTGGCAGGAGCCCTAGTGGTGTAGTGGTTATGTCGTGGGCTGGTCATCCCAAGGTCAGCAGTTTGAAACTACCAGCCACTCCATGGGAGAAAGATGAGGCTTTCTACTGAAAGTTTATATATATATATATTAGTATATACTCGAGATATATACTATATATGTATATATATATATATATATATATAATATATTACTCGAGTATAAGTCGACCCGAAATATCAGCCGAGGCACCTAATTTTACCACAAAAATGGCCTTAAAAATGTGCTGAAAAACATGGTTTATACACGAGTATATACGGTATATAATTGTATTGCTATAAAATTCACATCATACACTTTCAAAGTTAAGTTGCTTTTAAAAAGAGTTGTATGCACATCATCACAGTCCGCTCTAGTGTTCCGCCCCCCTCCCACATTCATTATTCGCTCCCCGATTCCCCTCACCGTCCCCACCCCCCACGTCTGATAAACCATTGCATCAGATATTGTCTCTCTGCTTCCACTCCTCCTGAGCTTCATAAACTGGGCAACCTAATCGAAATCATAAAAAACAAAAGCAAGGAGGAAGATAAAATAGAAAATACTATAAAGACTAAACATAAAAATAAAGAGGAAGAAAGAAAATGCCCCCCAAAATTTTTTAAAAATGAAAGAAAATGCCATCAACTATATATATATATATATTTATATTTAAGTCAGGAAATTTCTTTTGTGGAACAAGCGAGAACTATGCAGGTTTGGTCAAGAGGGAGGCCAACTGGCCAGGTATCATATGATACAGTGAAGTTCACAATAATCTCTGTCTGATAGCAAAGCTGTTTGAGGCCCTTGCCGGTGGCCGAGGGGATCTACCAGAGGCTTCATCTGACTAGATACTTTGCAGTGGGAGTTTGGGCTCCACTGTCCTCCACAGCCTTCTACAAATGGGTGTCCACAATTTAAACCCGATACTTGTCCCTTCATCATACTGGGATTTTGTTACCATCATCGTTGGGTCACACAGACTGGTGAGTTTCTTCCGTGTGGACTTAGTTGACTCCTCGCTTAGATGGCTGCTTGCTTGAATACAAGCCTTGAAGACCCCAGGCACTATTCCAATTGAGAGCCGGGCACCATCTGCTTCCTTCACCACACTTTGCTGCAGCACCTTTGTCTCAATGAGCTCTTCATGAAGGGGAATATCGAGCAGGGTCATGTTATAAAAACTTAACTGTTCTTGGGTTGGGGCTAGAATTACATGGGAACCCAGAATCCATCTGCTTGTCCACTGGTTGAAGCTTGAACGACTCTAGTTTATTTTGGTGGTCATATTATGACAAAAACAAGAACAAACAACAACAACAACAAAAACCCAAAGAAACAATAAAGAAAAACATATGACCCTGGGGTATAAGGTAATTGCATTGATAACATCAACAGTTTGTCCAATGGAATAGAATCTAAGGTATCATCGATATGAGGAGTTTGTGTCAGCATAGCCCGCCTGGGAGCTGCAATCCACGAGTCATTGCTTTGTACAGATTGACTTCTTAATTGATTGAGCTCTGCTGACATTGACCATGGGAGTTGGTGCTAGGGGGAAATGTCCTGTACCATTTCTTACAAGGGCAGATCCTTGCCTATCAGATTAATACCGGTCATATTACTGCAAGGGGAACACTGAGACCCTAAATATATGGTGGATGTGGGTCCCCTTTCATTGGACACTCACTGAGCCAGGGTTCAACCCAAGTTCAACTCGCCATTGCCACAGTCTTGGGGTGGCCATCCTTATTTCAGTCTGAAGTCCTAGGGTACAGGTGGTTTTGAGGAAGGCCCCGTTTGTTCAATCGGGCTTCCATGTCAAGCCTTCTGGTGTGGCCCTGGAGGGATGTCATGTTCCCTGTAAGGCTGGTGTCTAAGGTCATCATACTGCTTAGTCCATGCTATGGTTCACCGAACAGTGGTAGTGCTGGATCATATGGGATTTCAATTCCCAGTTGCTTGAAGTATCGCCAAACCATTTTCCATAGTGGTTGTGTGTGGACTTACAAGTCCACCAACAGTGTATACGAGTTCCAGTCTCCCACAACCTCTCCAGCATTCGTTTTGTTTTAAATCGGGCTAGCATTGTGCGTGTGAGGTGGTATCTCATTGTGACCGTGGGCATTTTTCATGTTCTGTTAGCCATTTGGACTTCATTTCCGGTGAACTGTCTGTTCATGACTTCTGCCCACTTCTTAATTGTGTCGTTTGTTATTTTCTCATGGAACTGTTGCTGAGTGCTGTAGGGTTGGGTAATTAAACCCTTGTCTGAGGTGTTGTTGGTAAAAGTTTTCCCCCAATCGGTGGGCTCTGGTTTTACTCTTTTGATGTGCACAAGTAATGTATTGTAAGCATGTCGCAGTCATCTATCTTGTCTCCCGTGTGCACGTCTTTATTACACTTGGTAGTCAGAATGTATGCCTTGAATAGGGCCCTTAAGTTTATTCCAGTTTTCTCTTGATGATTCTGAGAGCTCTGGGGTTCACATGTAGGTCTTCATTTGTCCTGAGTTTGTCTTTGTGCTCTTTCCATACAGAGTTATCCTCTTGGAAACTCACGGGCAGGTCAACCATGTCTTAGCGGCTCCCTCTGAGTCCTCCTTGGCTCAGTGGCAGTGAACAGACACTGGCAGGTAAGGAGGGCATAAAGCAGAGAGCCACCCTCCCGTCTCCAACCATCGGCCATTGGCCATTCTGTGGGGGTTGTAACAATGGACTCACACTCAGCACCGGCGATGTTTTGCTTCAGTCTGTTGCACTAAAAGTCGCCTAACCACAGTGTGAGAAAGTGCCTTAGGTCCCCCAGAATGCGCTTCTCGCAGTCGCCACCGGGGGTCAGCAGAGCCCGCATTCCCGGAGCCAAGCCACCCGGCTGGGTCCGCGTGGCCCGAACCAAACCCCAGTGGATCCCACCGGGACCCTGTGAAGGGGATCCCAGGCTGCAGATCTTCACAAAGCCGCGTGACTCAAATCATCCCCTACGCTGAGTGGCTGGTGGGTTCAAACCACTCACTTTGGGGTTAACACCCCAACGCTTAAACCACTGCGCTACCAAGTGGTCTCCCAATGCCTTCGTTCGAGTCGTTGCGGTGTGAGTTTCTGAGACTGGAACTGTTCACGGGAGTCGAAAGCCCGATCTTTCTCCCGCCAAGGGGTCTAGTGCTTGGGAATTTCTAGGTGGAAGTGGGTCCCTAGTCGGGGTACTTCCTCCGATCGGGTCCTTTAAGAGTTAAGTTTCCGGAGGGCAGACTCAGGTCCGGGAGGCTCGGGGGTCAAACCACAGGCAGGGAGTCGGGGGTGGACGGAGAAAACTTCCGAAGTTGATGCCCACCGTTTCTTTCGGGAGCACCGCTTGCGTCTCTAAGTGGTCTACGTGAGCGGGAGAAGCGGCGCCCCGCGGGGCCTCCCCGCACCCCGCCGGGAGGAATCTCGGCGCCAGGGCGAAAGTCAGGGCGAAACCCACGAGCCGTGCCCCGCCGAAGCCTCCCCTCCCGCAGGGTGCATCCAGGCCGGCCCATCGGCCGCCGGAGAAGGGGTGTGGGCAGGAAGGCAACAGGTGTGCAGTGGGTCCCGCCCCTTCTCAGCAGGTGAATCGGCCCCGTTCCCACGGATTGCGCTCCGCTGGGCTGGTTCCGAGTCGGACGGAGCCCAGGGCGCCCCGGGGCGCGCGGGGGCCCCCGCGGCCAGCTGGTCACTCCACTCGGCCCCTCCGCGCTGGGGCGCACCTGGACCAGCCCATTTCCGGGGAGGGAGGCGGAGCGGCCCCTCCCTGCAGCTACTCCCCCCTCCTCCCGGAGCCCAGCCCTAGGATCCCACCCACCCTGTGTACCTGGGCGGATCCATTCCCAGAGCGCGCGGGGTGGAGGGCGCGGAGGGGCTGCTCGGAGTCAGGCCGTGCACCGAGCGCCTTTCTCACCCAAAGCCAGAAGTGTGCGCCTGATCCACTTTGTCTGGTCTCAGAAAACTCCTAAAACGCGGCGGGGTGGGGACAAGGAGCGGAAGCGGGAAGGGGCGGAGCGTGCACCCCTGCTAGCCTTGGTTCGCGCGGCGCCCCTTGCCCGCCCGGTACCTGGGAGGGGACGCGCGGGACAGCAGCGCCTAGACGGCGGCGATGGCGCTAGCGGCCCGCAGGCTCTCCCTGAGTCTGGGGTCCTGCTCGGCCGTCTCGGGCCAGGGGGCTCTTGTCTGGCTCTTTCTCGGCACCTTTTGTATAGGTATGGGCTGTGGGCAGGGGTTCCTGGTGCTGCGGAGAGGCGAGGGGGCGCAATGGACGGCGGATGGGGGAGGTGTGGACAGAGTTCTGCCGGGCCGGGCAGGCGGGGGAGTTTAGCACGGAGCTTTTGGGGCGGGGGGCACGGAGGGCAGCCAAGAGACTGGGACCTCCCCGACTGGTCTCCGGAGAATTCTGTGTCCGGGGATTCCTTGCGGGGAGCGTTCCCCGCCCTGGTCCAGAGAGCAGGAAGTGAAACTCCCTGGACCGCGAGCCCGGGAACAAGATCCTTTGTGGGGTAGGAGTGGGGGGCCGCCCGATCGCTGGAAGAGGCCGGAAACTCGGATATTTCTAAGTCTTGGGGTAACGGGGAGGGGGGCCACGAGGGCTGGATTCCTTGTTTCCTGGAGTGCGAGGTCCCAGGTCGCCGGTGGACGCCCCTGGGGTGGTCCCTGTTGCCGATGGACGCGCCTGGGGGGAGGGGGGGGTTCCTGCCCCCTACCCCACTCTCCTGCCCCCTACTCTACTCCCCTCCTGGTGAGGATGGAAATAAGGAAATGTCTGAAACCTTCAGCTGCCAGCTTTCCCCTGGAGGTGCTGGGTGGGGGTGCTCCCTAAGGAAAAATAGGAGGCTGATGGAGGAGCTATTGGGGGGTGGGGGGTGTTCAGCCACACCCTGCAGAGCTGCTAGCCGGGCACGCTATAAACTTTGCCCACGTTCCCCAAACCCAGGGTAACTTGGAGCCCTTGCCAGTTCCTTTGAAGGGACCTTGGGCATTGATGGCACTGGCCATCTGGGCTTGCCCTGGGCAGATCACAGAGAGAGGCTGGCCAAGGGCAGAAGGCCCGGGGGTTGAAAGGAGAGAGGTGGGCAGGACTTTGCAGGTGGGATGTTGTAGCACCTGCTACTTCAGCCCTGTGGATCCATCCGCAGGGCCCAGTTATCCTCCTCCTCAGCTGATCCTGGGGATTAAGGAGTAAGGTGTGCCCGGTGCTCTGTGAAACCATACGTCTTTACATGTCAAGCCAGTGACACGCGACACCGGCACTTCCCTGAGCGGTCCCGAGACAGCGGTCCTCACCGACTCTCCTCTTGCCCTCAGCTCCGGCCAGCGCCATCCAGGTGACCGTGTCGGACCCCTACCACGTGGTGATTCTCTTCCAGCCCGTCACCCTGCCCTGCACCTACCAGGTGACCGCCACCCCTACGGTGCCCATCGTGATCTGGAAGTACAAGTCCTTCTGCCGGGACCGCATCGCGGACGCCTTCTCCCCGGCCAGCGTCGACAACCAGCTCAACGCCCAGGTGGCAACTGTGAACTCGGGCTATAACCCCTACGTGTCCTGCGATGACAGCGTGCGCACCGTAAGGGTTGTGGCGACCAAGCAAGGCGACGCTGTGACCCTGGGTGACTACTACCAGGGTCGCCGGATCACCATCACAGGAAGTATGTTAGGCAGCATGGGATGGGAAGATAGGGGCAGAAAGGGTGGTCCCTCTTGAGTGTCCTGTCAGATGGGACAGTCCCTTACTCAACAACAAACACTGATTCAGTATCTAACACATACCAAAAGGAGCCCTGAGGGTGTAGTGGGTTCCGAGTTGGGCTGATAACGACAAGGTGAAGGGTTCAAACCCACCTGCTGCTCTACGGGAGACAGTTGAGGCCGTCTGCCCCTGCCAAGATTGACAGCCTTAGAAGCCTTAGATAGGATCACTGTGAGTTAAAACGAACTTGAGGGCAGGGGGTTTGGTTTGGTTTGGTTTGGTTTGGGGTACCACCTACCAGACACCGTTCAACCCAATCATCAAACCACTTCATGAAGCTCATCTCCCGGTGAGAGTCGCAGGCCAGATCAGCATGGTGCCCCCCACCAGGTGCTGGCATCTGGAGAAAATGGGGTCATGAAGATAGTGAGGGGGGTGCTGCAGACACCACCTCCAAAGTCAGGCGTCCTGGTGGCGTAGCAGCCACATGGGGGGCTGCTGACAGCCAGGCCCGCAGTTTGAAACCACCAGCTGCTCCTGGTAGCGAATTACAGTTGCAAACCCTCAAGGGGCAGCTCTGTCCTGCCCTCGAGTCAGCACCGACCTGATGGCAGTGGGTTCGTGAGGTTTTCAGCAGTAACAACCTAAGAGGGAAGTATACTGATTAGCACTCTGGTCGCCCATTGGACTGCTAGCCACAGGGTCAGCAGTTTGAGCCCACCAGCCTGTCTTCAGGAGAAAGGATGGGCTTTCTGCTCCCAGAAAGAGATCCATGGGGGCAGGGCCTTGGAGATCCCTGGGGGCAGTGCTGCCCTGTCCGACAGGGTCGCTGTGAGTCGCTCTAGAAAGGCCAAGGCACTTGGGCACACACTGGTAGTGGCAGAGCCAGGGGTCCGGGGCTGTTGGGACTCCTGGACTAGAGGTGGGTAGGACCAGTGTTGTCAAGGTCAAGCCTTTCTGTTTCAGAGAGGGGTAGAACTGTGATGAGATCTGTGAAGCACCCCCCTTCAGGATCTGGGTCCCAGGGGTGAAAAATAATCTTATAAAGGTGTCTCCTCGCTGCTTTCCGTAAGTTGACTGGTAGAGGCACACTGTAACCATCATTGTACAGGGAGCGAAGTGGCCCACAGAGGTTGGTGATGTGCACAGCAGCTGCACATGGCTGGGCATCTATTTATTTATTTATTGGGGGGGTGGGGCGTGTGTGTCTGGTTTTGCAGTGTGCCTTTCACAGAGTATTTGTTTGGTGTGTGTGTGTCTTCATACTTGATTGTGAACAAGGTGGAGGAGGCAGTAGATGATCGGCGTACGTTCTGCCATGCCTACTGCCACCCTACCACTCGTTCATCTACCTGTGTTCCCTGGGTCCTCTCTTAACCCTTCTGAATGTTGCCCTCGGGTAAATGCTGCCTTTTTGATCTGAAACCGTGGACAACTAACATGGTGGTCAGCTCAGTTCCAAACTTGAAGGGTGACTAAGGGCCTTAGTTGAGGGGTGGGCTGGGGGTGGTTCCCACCAGCTATCCAACCCGTAAACTGGTCTCTGTGACGCTGAGTTCTGTTCCCCATCTTCTCCCACGTCTCTCCAGGGTCTTCCTTCTCCTGGGATGCTTTTCAGAGCCCTTGGTTGTGGTGTTGGGCACCATCTACAGCTTCTGGTCTCAGACGGATGTTGGCACGGTCCATTGGACTGTTTGCATATGGCTCGATTTTCATCATCTTTCCTCTTAAGCGAGCCTCGAGTTTGAACCCTGGCCTCGGAGCTAAGAGGAGAAGGGGGTCACTTGTTGGCAGCCTCCTCACTTTGTCCACGCCATGGGTCAGAGGCAGGGCTCCAGGGGCCAGCCTGTTAGGTCCTGTTGCATGGGAGGGACCAGCTTGCCCTGGAATTCCATGGGCATTATAGCCTTCAGCATCCTCTTCTGCTTGAGGTCAAAGGCTTCCTTGGACACTCAACCTAGAGAGGCGCTCTCCTCTTAACCAAGGGGCCTCTGTAGCCTGGATCAGGCAGGACACTCCCAATCCTGAGCCTGCCTTTGAAGGCTGGGTGGAATCAGGCTTTCTCTGGGGCCCATTCTCCACAGCCAGAAGGCCTTATAGGCCATCCATTGTGTGTGTGTCCCTGCAGGAAGTCCAGTACCCCGGGAGCTTCCTCTGTTTTTAGCTTGGAGGATGGAGACAAGAGAACTTTCCTTTGGGGTCCCCATCATGACCAGCTGCCCTGGTTTTCCTAGTGAAAGTTCTTGGGTCCCAGGCAAACCAGGACAGTTGCTGGTCCTGGTGTCCCTTCACCCAGGGTGGGCCCTGCTTCCCCTTCCAGGCCTCGGTTTGGGAGGAGGTGGGATACCTGGTGAGAAGGCCTTCTTTCTACTTTCTTGAACGACGTGAGGTCCATGTGCCCCCTCCACCCCCCCAGCAGCAGCCCGCAGGGGGCTCTGAAGTCAGATCAGGTGGACCCCCTCTGCGGTGTACACAGATGTGGTGGAGACCCAATTTCCGTTCCTGCTTCTGAACCTAGAGCTTTAGGGGCAGAGCCCCGCTGAGTCATCCCAGGGCCAGACGGGGGCCCGGGAGCCGGGTGTGCCGCGCAGGAAGGAGGTGGGCCCAGACCTTGGTGTTGATCAAAAGGAGCCGGAAAACCATGCTTCCATGGGTTTTGAAAACATCACACAAGCCAAACAAAATGCACGGAGGCGAGCCCCGGGTTCAACCCCCAGCCTCTGTTCTTTTGATGTGGCTAAGGGGGTTCCTGCCCACCCCTTCAGCTCACCGTCGGGATTAGCTCCTGAGCTGTGTGCTGAGTCTGGAGACCGCCACACTGGGGACACGAGGGTTTTCCTCTGGAGGACTACAGAGAATCTAATTCTGGGCTAAAGGGGCCCTAGCAGCATCGTGGGCCGTGCATCGGACTGCTAACCGCAAGGTCAACAGTTCGAGCCCACCATCTGCCTAAGGGAGCAAGATGAGACGCTGTTCCCCTAAAGGTGGACAGTCTGAGAAATCCACAGGGCCAGTTCTACTCCGCCCCTGTCGGGTTGCTGTGAGTCAGAATTGATTTGCTAGAGTGCAAGGTCTGGGTTATAGATTCAATGAAAGGATTCAAGGAAAGGGCTGAGGCTTGAACCCAGCACTTGGCTAGAGCTCAGACTAGCTGTAGCTGCCTGCCTGCCAGGGTGTCACCCTCCCACCCCCAAGTCACCCTTGAGTCTGTTCTGAAGGGCGCCTTATCTAGGTCCCTTCATTACACAGCCCCCACCCCACCCCTGGCACTCTGTCTTCCTCCTGCTTATCATCATCTGATGTGCTCCGCCGCGAACCGAAAGGCCGGCTTGCTGCTCCCAAGGGGAGAAGGATGTGGCGAGTTCGCTGCTGTGAAGATTTGCATCCTTGGAAACATCTAGGCAGTTCTGTCTCGGAGGGTCCCTCGGAATTGGCATCAACTGGACTCCAGCGGGTGGGGTGGGGCTCTGATTTTAAATGGTTGCACAGACAACAGGGCAAGGCACAAGGTCATGCTCAAGTCCTCTATAGTTTCTTTGGGACTCAGCCATTTTACACAGTCACACAGGTGGCATTCCCGGCCTGTGTGTGCGGCCTTTCTCCCTCTCCTGTCCCAATGCCTTCATTTCCTGTCGCGGTCAACTCTTTCCCCCTGAGCTCCTCGCCTACCTCGTGAGTGAGCAAACCCTTGTTCACGGATCGGCATCCCAGGGATATGTTTGGTGTGGGGTTCAAGGTGAACGTGATATCTGCACAGTAGTTCTAGGGGTTCTGCCAGCCTCAATGAATCCAGAAGCCTGGGTTTCAGGAGAATAAAAAGTATTTTCTGCATTCCCGCCTCCCTCCCCTTTTGATAAAGGTTCTCTAGACTCATACCAAAACGCTGGGAGTGGTGGCTGAGTCCCAGCCATTTCTTTGGGTCTCATAGGAAAGAAGGCCAGTTGGGGAGCCAATCAACTTGCATGTCTGTTTCCGAGCCCTGGTGGGGTAGTGAGTGACTCACTGGGTTGCTAACTGCAAGGTCAGCAGTTCGAAACCACCAGCTGCGCCGTGGGAGACTGGTGAGGCTTTCTAGTCCGGTCAAGAGCTAGTCTCAGAAAGGCCCAGGGGCAGTTCTACCCTGTCCTGCAGGCTCCCTGTAGGTCAGAATCTACTCAATGGCAGTGAGTTTGGTTGGGTTTCGGCTGCTCCCAGCTGTTCTTCCTCTTGCTCCAGATGAACAGAGCCCAATTGTTGAGCCTTGCATGGGTGCCCCTAAGGCCCTACACCATGAAGTAGGAGGTTAGAATAAAATACTCCCTGCCGGGGTGTCAATTCCAACTCCTAGCAATGCTGTAGAGTAGGGTAGAACGGGACCTACAGGCGGAAACTCTACTATGGGAACAGAGAGCCTCAACTTTTCCCCCAGAACTGCTGGGGGCTGTGAACTGCTGACCTGGTGCTTAGCCGCCGCACTCATCCCCTGCTCCAACACTGGCACTGTAGCAGGCTGATGAACCGGAACGTCCGGTGAGACCAGGACCTGCTTCGAGAAACCAAATCTCATGAGGTGTTTTATTGACCAGCCCCACCGAAGCCACCCCCACCCCCGTTTTTTGGTGAGGGGGGGGAACAAAAGATGTATATGTTGCAAGGTCACCTGTCAATCACACGGACTACTGATGGAAGAGTTAGTGGCATCACTCTCAGCCGTTGGCGGCGGAGCCCTTTAATTGATACAATTTTTCCATCAGGAACTCAGGACACCCTAAGGCCTTCCCCTCCCCCAGCCCTCCTTCTGGTAACCGCTAATATAACTTTCTTCTCAGTCAACATGGGTCCTGCAGTAGTTACCTTTCTGTGACTGACCACTGTTCAGCATCACGTCCTCCAGCTCCACCCATGCTGTAGCCTGCGACCTGGCCTTTGTGCCTGCGTCTGGCCCAGCCGTAGTCTCTCCCATGCATGGACCACATTGTA